AATGTGTTATCGCTTAGTGATTGTGTACACTATTTTTACACTCCTGTAGACCAAACTGTCGCTTTGGGAGGCAGACATTTTATCTTAACCTTTTGCGAGAGGCCTGGGCACTGATCAGAAATGAAACACTGGCCAACATTGAACAGAATCCAAACAGGTAACCAGTAGTAACCATCTTATATACAGATCACATGATACACTGAGCGTTGAAACAAACAGGGACTGARGCATGATATAGAGATTGTGAGCCTGATTGGTATAGACAATTTCCTACTCTTATCCCAATGTAGTACAGATTCCTTAACACTCCCTTTATGGATACTTTGACTTAAATTTATAACWCTCTAACTTTTTAACTCTCAATATCTTTTTCACATGCTGATAAATAAAGAAAGTGGAYACCTGCAGTACAAATGTTGGTCAACTTCTTTGAGGAATATCTAGGTCTAGCTCTGGATATTATCCCAGCATTCAAGGCCAATGATAAAGATTCATGGCATCTCATACTTCTACGGCTAGAAATAATGTTTGCTCGTTTGGGTAAACACCATTACAGAGATGCCTGTATGGTATTCCTTTCCCGCCTGAAATACTGGCAAGACACAAATCATCCCATGCTCACAGAGTTTTTTAAGATGATGCCAGAGTTTTCTGAAGTTGYCTGCGAATTGTTTTTCTCAGGTATAATATTTGCAATGGTACCAGAATTTATTATCCAGCTATAATCAGTAAAGTAAAAATATCACAAAAGAAAGACTGGAGCAAGTACAAAGATGCTACGGTATTTTCACTCTCGGTTATTTTGTACAGTAAAAAACACAGTTTTTGAAAACTAGTTTGGGTCACGTAAAATGTCACACAAAGAAAAACATTTTACTCAAAGTCTTCTTTTGTGAAGAATTAAATTRGTTGGATAAATAAATAACTTATTAGACATTCTAGGGTGGAATACAGGTGGATGTCTGCACACTTAAAAAATATCCACATGTGTGAACTTTCTTTATAAAAACTATTTTCTACTGTTAATTCACTTATACAAGTGGAATATATTATACACATCGTATTAGACATCTCCTAATGTAGTTTTTATAAAAAATTATTCTAGTGTTATCTGCACATACCAAACCACATGATACYGAAGAACAAGTTCAAAGCAGTGCCATTACAGTTGACTTGATGAAAGAGGAAGTTGCATCAATCCATGATGTGTATAAAGTTCGTCCCCTCGACTGCTACACCCATAACCTAATGCCTAGCACGGGACCAAAGTTCTTTGCTCTTGTGGAAGATGCAACATCATTCCTGAAAATACTTTTCAATAAGTGTTTAGGAGAGGAAGAGATTCCACTTGAAGAAGCAGCAACTTTTGACAAAACCACAGGCCTGCTGTCATATCAGACCAAAGTCTTTGGGCTTGTTCCAGCAAATCTATTCCCACTGCCATGTTCTCTTCCATCTTGTGCTGTTGTTTGTTCTATTTGTGAAGGCCTGTTAGATGGTTCCATCAAGTRCAAAAGCCGCATCAGATTAAAATGTGGCCACATGTTTCATCAGCTTTGCCTTGTCCCTAATCTTGGAAGCATACGATTGAAAGCATTATACAAAGAAGAGCTGAAATCTCTATGCAGCATGTACAACCTCAACACTATCGGCACAAAAGCAGTTTTATTGGAGCGCTTGAATGACAGTTTGACACCAGCACAGAAACAGATGAAAATTACAAGTTGTCAAGGGTGTACACGAGAAGACACATCACCGTCKCTAAGGATGTTTTGCCACTGTTGCAAGAATTTCATACTTCCTGATCAAGAATCCATTCGATTACCATGCAGTCACATTGTCCACAAGTTATGCAAGAAATCTGGAAGCTGTACAATTTGCACTTCTCTGTTACGAGAATTGACAACTACAGTTTGTGAAAAAGCCAAGTTGACATTCACTAAAGAATATGTTCCCAAATCAGGTACATCAGCAGATGATGAACAAGACAGTGATGAAGATACTGAAGATTACAGTGATACTGGACCAGGTTTATCTGAAAAGCAAGAGAAGGTTGTGCATTATTTTGGAGAATTGGCAGTAAAAACCAAGCACAACAAAGAACAAAGGGGCTCACTTCCTAAACTTAAAATTGACAAAGTGTCAGAGTGAAACCACTGTATTTTTGAACAATTTATTATATCTCATGTATGAACAATGTAGTTCAAATTATTGTAAATACATTGTAGTGATTAAAACCGTAAATAGTAAGATTATTGAAAATATGTACACTATCATACAACAAGATTCGTGCAATCTTTACCTGTATCAATGATTTTAGACACATGTATGTCAATTATGTAATTAAATAGCAATGTTAAGTATACACATCATGCGTTTTCAAACTCAAAACTTTCACAAAATKTTCCAGCTTACCTGAAGGTCAGAACTCTTCTATCCAGTCCTAATAAGTACTACCAGTCAGTCCTTCGTGGCTTAGGTAGGGTATATTCTAGTTTTCATAATAAGCACAAAAACTTTTGTCCTTTTTTSCGATTATAGCCTTGTGAAATTTATGTTTGGTTTATGACATAAAYCACGTGCCACAAGTGAAGTAAAATATCCCATTTTTGTTTCATAACACAGATATGGCTTCAGTTTCGACGAATATTATCAAAGAAGTCCTTGACAATCTTTTCATAGTGATGTGAAAAGTTTTCGTTCTCCTTTTGGGATTATAATCCGCAATATATTTGAATCAAGAAGTTTTGATAATTTCTTTCTTCATCTCCTTCATTTACTGATCAAAATTTTTCAAGAAGCCGTTCTCTGAACATGCACCCCGAATCTCGATATGACCATGTAAAGTACGTCATTCAACAATTTCTGTGTGGCTTAGCCTATATATTATGTTCTGCGGAATACAGGTTTACGAGTACAATCGTTATTTAATATCGTAGGCAGTCATCTTGGATCTTGTTTGTTCGTCATGTCGAACAACGCTCTGTAAAATTCAATATCCGCTAAATCCACAAAAATCACACTAAAACGCCTCAGTCTTCGTAAGCTACGTATCCAAACCACTGAGAACATACATGTTGTACAATGGAATACAAACTTAGAATTTACATGTCTCTTTTTGCACAAATTTCTTCCTTCCCTTACGAACAGAAAACATGGCTGACAAAAACAACACAACAATCTCAAATTGATCGAAATTGACCAATGAGAGCGCTCGTACCCAGACCCTCATGATTCGCCACAGACCAG